GGATTAGGGATTGGGATTAGAGACTGGGATTACAGGATTAGGATTAGGGATTGGGATTAGGGATTGGGATTCAGGATTAGGATTGGGGACTGGGATTACAGGATTGGGATTAGGGATTGGGATTAGGGATTGGGATTACAGGATTAGGATTATGGATTGGGATTAGGGATTGGGATTACAGGATTAGGACTAGGGATAGTGATTAGGGATTGGGATTAGGGATTGGGATTACAGGATTAGGATTAGGGATTGGGATTAGGGATTGGGATTAGGGATTACAGAATTAGGGATTGGGATTAGGGATTGGGATTACAGGATTAGGATTAGGGATTACAGGATTAGGGATAGGGATTAGGGATTGGGATTACAGGATTAGGATTACAGGATTAGGATTAGGGATTGGGATTAGGGAGTGGGATTACAGGATTGGGATTAGGGATTGGGATTTGGGATAGGGATTAGGGATTGGGATTACAGGATTAGGATTAGGGATTGGGAATAGGGACTGCGATTAGGGACTGGGATTACAGGATTAGGATTATGGATTGGGATTAGAGACTGGGATTACAGGATTAGGATTATGGATTGGGATTAGGGATTGGGATTACGGATTGGGATTAGGAATTGGGATTACAGGATTAGGATTAGGGATTGGGGGGCGGCGCACCGATGCAGGCCATGCGCGCGCGGTGCAGGCGGAAGCCGCGGTCGCAGACGCAGGTGAAGCCTTGCGGGATCCGCACGCAGCGGCCGTGCTGGCAGCCGCTCAGCACCCCGCACTGCTCGGGGGGCAGCGCCTCCGCCACGGGGGGGGCTGCAGTGATAAATGGGGGGGGGGCATTAGAGCCGATGGCCCCCACAAATCCCACCCCAAATCCCACCCAAATGCCCCCAAATCCCATAGAAATAGGAGGAATTTGGAGCGAAATGCACCCGGACCGACCCAAAATCCCATTCCAAATCCCCAAATCCCATTCAAATGAACATGAAATCCCACTAAAATATCCCCAAATCCCATTAAAATACACAGAGATCCCATTCTATGTCCACAAATCCCATTCAAAACCCCAAATCCCATTAAAAAGCCCCAAAATCCCATTCAAAACCCCAAAGATGCCATTCAAAATCCCCACATCCCAATAAAATGCACCAAAATCCCATTAAAGAGCACCAAAATCCCATGATTGAAACAGAAGATCCCACTCTACACCCACAAATCCCATAAAAAACTCCAAATTCCACTAAAATGCCCCAAAATCCCATTCAAAAAGCCAAAGATCCCACTCAACATCCCCAATTCCCATTCTAAAGAACCCAAAATCCCACTAAAATATC